TGTGTCACGTGTGAAACAATGTCCTTCAGCTAGGTGTCCTACGGCGAATGTGTTCTCTGATCATTATCAGAGCTTCGGCCGCGCGCTCGACCACAATCTTTGTTGCTTCGAATTTCCGTCTCAGGAGTTCCTCCTGCTTCTGCTTCCGGAGCTCTGTCCTCTCCTTCTGCTTCTTCTTCTTCTCGAAAGCCCGAAGGTTCGCGATGCAGAGACGGATGGTCTTCTTGGTGTTTCTCGGAAGCCCTTGTAGATCCTGGACTGAAAAGCATTGGAGTCGCCGGCCAAAGTCGAAGTCGTCTGTGGCTCTCGAAGCCAGCATCGGGTACCTGGAGAGTGCACCGATCAGCGCTAGGTGTCCTAGCCTCAGTGCCCAATCCGAGCGGCTCGTGAACTGCGAAATGGCCAGCTTCAGGTTGTGGGGTAGACGTGTCCATTTCTTTGCTGCCGTCCGGCAAGTGCAGTTTAAGGCGCTGAAAAGTACCGGTGTATCCATCGCGTCGAGCTGTCGTGAACTACTGGTTTCTATCGCACGCCTGAGCCCCAGTTGCAGCTGTGCCACAGGCTCGCTTGCCTCCCTTTCAAAGCCACCGGTCCATGATCCGACTAGTCTGGAACATGCGTGCATAGCTGACTGTGCGATCTCTTCATCACGACGACTTGTGAAGTGTACGCCTATCCCGGCCTTGTCTTTGTGAATTTGAGGCCTCGCGCTTGGGAACATGCACCTGGGACCGCATATTCTTTGAGGATACGCCCTCCAGTCTCGTCCCGGCCTCGTTCTTCTTGAGGTTGAAGTCTCGTGCTTGGGAGCATGCACCTGGGACACCATATTGGTTGAGGACAAGCGCTCCGGCCTCGTTCCCGCCTCCGCCGTCTTCTCAGCTTAAAACCATGCACCCGACACCCCATCTTGGTTGAGGATAAGCGCTCCGGCCTCGTCCCTACCTCCGCCGTCTTCTCAGCTTCAGACCAAGCACCTGAAACCCCATCTTGGTTGAGGATAAGCGCTCCGGCCTCGTCCCCGCCTCCGCCGTCTTCTCAGCTTAAAACCACGCACCTGAGACCCCATATTGGTTGAGGACAAGTGCTCCGGCCTCGTCCCCGCCTTCGCCGTCTTCTCAGCTTCAGACCATGCACCTGACACCCCATCTTGGTTGAGGATAAGCGCTCCGGCCTCGTCCCCGCCTCCGCCGTCTTCGGCTTGAGACCACGCACCTGAGACACCATCTTGGTTGAGGATAAGCGCTCCGGCCTCGTCCCCGCCTCCGCCGTCTTCTCAGCTTCAGACCAAGAACCTGACACCCCATATTGGTTGAGGATAAGTGCTCCGGCCTCGTCCCCGCCTCCGCCGTCTTCTCAGCTTCAGACCAAGCACCTGAAACCCCATCTTGGTTGAGGATAAGCGCTCCGGCCTCGTCCCTACCTCCGCCGTCTTCTCAGCTTCAGACCAAGCACCTGACATCCCATCTTGGTTGAGGATAAGCGCTCCGGCCTCGTCCCCGCCTTCGCCTTCTTCGGCTTGAGACCACGCACCTGAGACCCCATCTTGGTTGATGATAAGCGCTCCGGCCTCGTCCCCGCCTCCGCCGTCTTCGGCTTGAGACCACGCACCCGAGACCCCATCTTGGTTGATGATAAGCGCTCCGGCCTCGTCCCCGCCTCCGCCGTCTTCTCAGCTTCAAACCATGCACCTGACACCCCAACTTGGTTGATGATAAGCGCTCCGCATCTTGGTTGAGGATACGTCCCCGCCTCCGGCCTGAGATCCCAGACTTCGGAAACCCATATTGGTTGAGGATATCTCTGGCCTGATCCCCGCCTCCGTGTTCTTCTCAGGTTGAGACCATGCACCTGAAGCCCCATATTGGTTGAGTATACGTGGGTTGAAGATAAGCGCTCCGGCCTCGTCCCCGCCTCCGTCTTCATCTCGGGTTGAGCCCACGTGCCTGGAACTCCATATTGGTTGAGGATAAACGCCCTGGCCTCGACCCCGCCCCTGCCTTCCTCGAGTTGAGACCATGCTATATCTCCCCGTATGTGTCTACTGAATGCTGAATAACAGCTGCGTCGGATAGGAGTCGCTCGTAGTCATCGGGCATACCCCAAGAGTGCATGCGCGTGATGCAAGTGCTTCCCGTGCACCTTTTGGACTCTCAAGGGAAGAGGTTCTTATCGCCGGACCTGGCGCTCAGACGGCTGCCGTGGCCTCCTGGGCTGTGCTGTGGCAGGGACGTGCCCGCATGTTCTTCTTCGTTGTGCTGGTCCGGCCTGGAAGACATCCTCTTCCCAGAAACAAATGCTGTCCGAAAGATACCACCAGGGTATCCACGCGCCGTGCGGCACCCTTTGCCAAATGTATCCTGGTTGCACGTCAGTGTGCAGGTTCTGTTCTCTCGCTCTTGCTTGCTGGCCTGCCCACCCATTCTTCCTGAGAAGATTTCTTTTCTCTTCGACGGTGGCACAGGCCTAGGGCAACTAGCGTCAACCACCGTCGGCAGATGCTGGCTTGGTGTGCGTTGCTCGGCCCCTGACGCCCAGTTGGCTCTTGATGCTGTCCAACGGGCTCGGAGCTTCGCGCTCCGGTTTCCCGGCTCTGTCACGGCGGCGGGGCCTGCAGCGCCATCGTGTTCAGCAGAGACATCACGAGCGCTTCTTAAGGCCCCGACGGACACAACCCGAGTCGGCGTGCACAGGGAGGGCCTCGATAAAGGTAAACGGCATATCAGGACTCCTCACTCGTAGAGCGTCCGAGGCTCGGGCACAACATCGCGTTGTGTGTCTCTTCTCCCTCGTATCCGGGGTCGATGCCCAAGTATCGGGCATATTCCTTGCACTCCTGGCGTAAAAACAAAGCCGAGTAAATGAGAAGTAGTTTCCCGCGACACATCCTCAGGTGCGGGCGCAGCACCGCAGTATACCTTCCGATCTCTCGAAACAGATTGTCCCTGTCGCCATAGCTTCTCCGAGGGGGACCGCTGGCTAGGAATTGCTCAATGAACAAGAGCTGCGTTCATAAGCTGCTGGGAGCAGGTACTCCTGCATGCGTCTGGCTGCACTACATGCTCAGTGATGGTCTCTTTCTCTGATATCCTTTTGCAATTGTCCCGCTTGCGAGCGCGGACACTCCATGGCTCGCCTTCGGCGACTCCGTCTCCTTCAGTGTTCGCCTGAATGGGACTCCGTATTGAGGATAAGCCCTCCCGGCCGTGTCCTTGCCTCTGTCTTGTTTAGCTTGAGCTTCCACACCGTCTTCTTCGGCTTGAGCTTCCACACCTCGGAAGCCCATATTGGTTGAGGATAAGCCCTCCCGGCCTCGTCCTTGCCTCCGTCTTCTTCCGCTTGAGCTTCCACGCCTCGGAAACCCATATTGGTTGAGGATAAGCCCTCCCGGCCTCGTCCTTGCCCCTGTCTTCTTCCGCTTGAGCTTCCACGCCTCGGAAACCCATATTGGTTGAGGATAAGCCCTCCCGGCCTCGTCCTTGCCCCCGTCTTCTTCCGCTTGAGCGTCCACGCCTCGGAAACCCATATTGGCTGAGGATAAGCCCTCCCGGCCTCCTCCTTGCCTCTGTCTTCCTCCGCTTAAGCGTCCACGCCTCGGAAACCCATATTGGTTGAGGATAAGCCCTCCCGGCCTCCTCCTTGCCTCTGTCTTCTTCCGCTTGAGCGTCCACGCCTCGGAAACCCATATTGGCTGAGGATAAGCCCTCCCGGCCTCCTCCTTGCCTCTGTCTTCCTCCGCTTAAGCGTCCACGCCTCGGAAACCCATATTGGTTGAGGATAAGCCCTCCCGGCCTCCTCCTTGCCTCTGTCTTCTTCCGCTTGAGCGTCCACGCCTCGGAAACCCATATTGGCTGAGGATAAGCCCTCCCGGCCTCCTCCTCCATATTGGTTGAGGATACACTCTCCCGGCCTTGTCGTTGCCCTTCTGCAGCTTGAGGGAAACCCATATTGGTTGGGGATAAACCCTCCCGGCCTTGGTCTTGCCCTTCTTCAGCTTGAGCTTCCACGCCTCGGAAACCCATATTGGTTGAGGATAAGTCCTCCCGGCCTTGTCCTTGCCTCTGTCTTCTTCAGCTTGAGCTTCTACGCGTCGGAAACCCATATTGGTTGAGGAGAAGCTCTCCCGGCCTTGTCCTTGCCTCCGTCTCCTTCAGCTTGAGCTTCCACGCCTCGGAAACCCATATTGGTTGAGGATATTCTTCTTTTCTTCAGCTTGAGCCTTCTACGCCTCGGAAACCCATATTGGTTGAGGATACACTCTCCCGGCCTTGTCGTTTCCCTTCTGCAGCTTGAGGGAAACCCATATTGGTTGGGGATAAACCCTCCCGGCCTTGTTCTTGCCCTTCTTCAGCTTGAGCTTCCACGCCTCGGAAACCCATGTTGGTTGAGGATAAGTCCTCCCGGCCTTGTCCTTGCCTCTGTCTTCTTCAGCTTGAGCTTCTACGCCTCGGAAACCCATATTGGTTGAGGAGAAGCTCTCCCGGCCTTGTCCTTGCCTCCGTCTCCTTCAGCTTGAGCTTCCACGCATCGGAAACCCATATTGGTTGAGGATATTCTTCTTCAGCTTGAGCTTCCACGCCTCGGAAACCCATTGGTTTGAGGATAAGCCCTCCCGGCCTTGCCTCTGTCTTCTTCGACTTGTGAGCTTCCACACCTCGGAAACCCATACTGGTTGAGGATAATCCCTCCCGGCCTTGTCGTTGCGCTTCTGCAGCTTGAGACGCCACGTCTTGGAAACCCATATTGGTTGATGATAAACCCTCCCGGCCTTGTCCTTGCCCTTCTTCAGCTTGGGCTTCCACGCCTCGGAAACCCATATTGGTTGAGGATGGCTCACCCCCGGCCTTGTCCCTGCCTCTGTCTTCTTCAGCTTGAACTTCCACACCTCGGAACCCCATATTGGTTGAGGATGAGCCCTCCCGGCCTTGTCCCTGCCCCTGTCTTCTTCAGCTTGAGCTTTCACGCCCCGGAAACCCATACTGGTTGAGGATGAGCCCCCCCCCCCCGGCCGTGTCCCTACCTGTGTCTTCTTCAGCTTGAACTTCCGCACCTCGGAACCCCATGTTGGTTGAGGATGGGCCCTCCCAGCCTTGTCCTTGCATAGGTACTCCGGCCTCTCCTCGCCTCCGTCCTGTTCGAGTTGAGACCACGCACCTCGGACCCGATATTGGTTGAGGACAAGTGCTCCGGCCTGGTTCCCACCTCCATCCTCTTCAAGTTGAGACCGCGCACCTGGGACCCCATATTGCTTGAGGATAGGCACTCCGGCCTGGTCTCGGCTTCTGTTCTCTCCAGACCACGGACCTGGGAACCCATGACAGTTGAGGATAGGCGATCCGGCCTTGTCGCCGCCTCCGTCTTCTTCAGGTTGAGACCACGCGCCGAGAACGTATTCTGAGAGTAAGTCCTTCGAGCCTGTTGTCGCCTCCTCTTGAAGCTCGCCTTCTTCTGGCTTCAAGCACCTGGCACTGATGCACGCTGCGGTAGGGCGCGCACCTAGGACCCCATATCGGTTGAGGATAAGTGCTCCGCCCTCGTCCCCACCTTCCCCTTCTTCGGGCCGAGATCGCGTACCTGGGACTCCACGTTGGTCGAGGATAAGCGCTCCGGCCTCGTCCCCGCCTCCGCTTTCGCACCTGGGACCCCATATTGGTTGAGGATAAGCGCTCCGGCCTCGTCCCTGCCGAGCACGCACCTGGGACCCCAGCTCCGCCCTCGTCCCCGCCTCCGCCTTCTTCGGGCTGAGACCACGCGCCTGGAACCCCATATTGCGCCGGCCTGGTCCGCGAGAGCACGCACCTGGGACCCCATATTGGTTGAGGATAAGCGCTCCCGCCTCCGAGCGCGCGCCTGGAACATATTGGTTGAGGATAAGCGCTCCGGTCTCGTCGCCTTCTTCGGGCTGAGACCACGCACCTGGGACCCCATGTTGGTTGAGGATGAGTGCTCCGGCCTCGTCCCTGCCTCCGCCTTCTTCGACTGAGACCACGCACCTGGAACCCCACATTGGTTGAGGATAATCAGCGTTCACCTCCTCACTTCGGTCTCTTGGGGTTGGGACACCATGCAGGCGAGCCTGCACGGCTTCGTTCCCGCTCCCGGCCTTCTTCTTCTTGAGGATACGCACCTGGCACTCCACGCTGGTTGCGGTCTAAGTGAGCGGGTTGTTAGTTGAGGATTGTTTTTTGGTGTCTGCCCACTACCCCCCGTGAGACTCGTGCCACCCCCCCGGAGGAGGCACCGGGTGGGGAGGGGGAGGGAAGGGGGGAGGGTGGGGGAGGGGGCCGGGGAGGGGTGGGAACCAACACCCCTTTCAGTTGAGGATTGTTTTTTGGTGTCTGCCCACTACCCTCCCGCCCCAGGAGGAGGGGGGAGGGCGCTCAGGGGGAGGGGGGGCGGGGGGAAGACCCCACACCCCATTTTAGTTGAGGATTGTTCTCTCGGCCTTGTCGCTGAGACCACACACCTCGGCAACCACATTGGTTGAGGCTCAAGCTTCCATACCTTGGATTGTCCTTGCCTCTGTCTTCTTCGGCTTGAGCTTCCACACCTCGGAACCCCATACCGGTTGAGGATAAGCCTTCCCGCCTTGTCTCTGCCTCTGTCTTCTTCGGCTGGAGCTTCCATACCCCGGAAACCCACATCGGTTGAGTATAAACCCTCCCGGCCTTATCCTTGCCTCTGTCTTCTTCGACTTGTGAGCTTCCACGCCTCGGAAACCCGTACTAGTTGAGGATAAACCCTCCCGGCCTTGTCGTTGCGCTTCTGCAGCTTGAGACCCCACGTCTTGGAAACCCATATTGGTTGATGATACACCCTCCCGGCCTTGTCCTTGCCCTTCTTCAGCTTGAGCTTCCACGCCTCGGAAACCCATACTGGTTGAGGATGAGCCCCCCCCCGGCCTTGTCCCTACCTGTGTCTTCTTCAGCTTGAACTTCCACACCTCGGAACCCCATGTTGGTTGAGGATGGGCCCTCCCGGCCTTGTCCTTGCCTCGGAAACTTATATTGGTTGAGGATAAGCCCTCCCGGCCTCGTTCTTACCTCTGTCTTCTTCAGCTTGAGCTTCCTGGGGCCACGCACTTCGAACCCCGGCCTTGTCCTTGCCTCCGTCGTCTTTTTGCTGGGGTCACGCACCTCGGACCTCATATTGGTTGAGGCCTCGTCCTTTCTCTTTTCTCCAAGATGAAACCATGCACCTGGGACCCTATCTTGGTTGAGGATAGGCACTCCGGCCTCTCCTCGCCTCCGTCCTGTTCGAGTTGAGACCACGCACCTCAGACCCGGTTTTGGTTGAGGAGAAGTGCTCCGGCCTGGTTCCCGCCTCCATCCTCTTCAAGTTGAGACCGCGCACCTGGGACCCCATATTGATTGAGGATAGGCACTCCGGCCTGGTCTCGGCTTCTGTTCTCTCCAGACCACGAACCTGGGAACCCATGACAGTTGAGGATAGGCGATCCGGCCTTGTCGCCGCCTCTGTCTTCTTCAGGTTGAGACCACGCGCCGAGAACGTATTCTGAGAGTAAGTCCTTCGAGCTTGTTGTCGCCTCCTCTTGAAGCTCGCCTTCTTCTGGCTTCAAGCACCTGGCACTGATGCACGCTGCGGTAGGGCACGCACCTAGGAGCCCATATCGGTTGAGGATAAGTGCTCCGCCCTCGTCCCCACCTTCACCTTCTTCGGGCCGAGATCGCGTACCTGGGACTCCACGTTGGTCGAGGATAAGCGCTCCGGCCTCGTCCCCGCCTCCGCTTTCGCACCTGGGACCCCTTATTGGTTGAGGATAAGCGCTCCGGCCTCGTCCCTGCCGAGCACGCACCTGGGACCCCAGCTCCGGCCTCGTCCCCGCCTCCGCCTTCTTCGGGCTGAGACCACGCGCCTGGAACCCCATATTGCGCCGGCCTGGTCCGCGAGAGCACGCACCTGGGACCCCATATTGGTTGAGGATAAGCGCTCCCGCCTCCGAGCACGCGCCTGGAACATATTGGTTGAGGAAAAGCGCTCCGGCCTCGTCGCCTTCTTCGGGCTGAGACCACGCACCTGGGACCCCATATTGGGTGAGGATAAGTGCTCCGGCCTCGTCCCTGCCTCCGCCTTCTTCGACTGAGACCACGCACCTGGGACCCCACATTGGTTGAGGATAATCAGCGCTCACCTCCTCACTTCGGTCTTCTTGGGGTTGGGACCACGTACCTGGGACACCATGCAGGCGAGCCTGCACGGCTTCGTTCCCGCTCCCGGCCTTTTTCTTCTTGACGCACCTGGCACTCCACGCTGGTTGCGGTTTGGGAGGGGGGTGGGAGGGGCAGAGCGAGGAGGGGAGGGAGGGGGACCCTCCGGAGGGGGCACCGGGTGGGGGGGGGAGGGAGGGGGGAGGGGTGCGGGGGAAGAGTGGGAACCAAGATTGTTTTTTGGTGTCTGCCCACTACCCTCCCGCCCCAGGAGGAGGGGGGAGGGCGCTCAGGGGGAGGGGGGGCGGGGGGAAGACCCCACACCCCATTTTAGTTGAGGATTGTTCTCTCGGCCTTGTCGCTGAGACCACACACCTCGGCAACCACATTGGTTGAGGCTCAAGCTTCCATACCTTGGATTGTCCTTGCCTCTGTCTTCTTCGGCTTGAGCTTCCACACCTCGGAACCCCATACCGGTTGAGGATAAGCCTTCCCGCCTTGTCTCTGCCTCTGTCTTCTTCGGCTGGAGCTTCCATACCCCGGAAACCCACATCGGTTGAGTATAAACCCTCCCGGCCTTATCCTTGCCTCTGTCTTCTTCGATTTGTGAGCTTCCACGCCTCGGAAACCCGTACGAAGACCCCACACCCCATTTTAGTTGAGGATTGTTCTCTCGGCCTTGTCGCTGAGACCACACACCTCGGCAACCACATTGGTTGAGGCTCAAGCTTCCATACCTTGGATTGTCCTTGCCTCTGTCTTCTTCGGCTTGAGCTTCCACACCTCGGAACCCCATACCGGTTGAGGATAAGCCTTCCCGCCTTGTCTCTGCCTCTGTCTTCTTCGGCTGGAGCTTCCATACCCCGGAAACCCACATCGGTTGAGTATAAACCCTCCCGGCCTTATCCTTGCCTCTGTCTTCTTCGACTTGTGAGCTTCCACGCCTCGGAAACCCGTACTAGTTGAGGATAAACCCTCCCGGCCTTGTCGTTGCGCTTCTGCAGCTTGAGACCCCACGTCTTGGAAACCCATATTGGTTGATGATACACCCTCCCGGCCTTGTCCTTGCCCTTCTTCAGCTTGAGCTTCCACGCCTCGGAAACCCATACTGGTTGAGGATGAGCCCCCCCCCGGCCTTGTCCCTACCTGTGTCTTCTTCGGCTTGAACTTCCACACCTCGGAACCCCATGTTGGTTGAGGATGGGCCCTCCCGGCCTTGTCCTTGCCTCGGAAACTTATATTGGTTGAGGATAAGCCCTCCCGGCCTCGTTCTTACCTCTGTCTTCTTCAGCTTGAGCTTCCTGGGGCCACGCACTTCGAACCCCGGCCTTGTCCTTGCCTCCGTCGTCTTTTTGCTGGGGTCACGCACCTCGGACCTCATATTGGTTGAGGCCTCGTCCTTTCTCTTTTCTCCAAGATGAAACCATGCACCTGGGACCCTATCTTGGTTGAGGATAGGCACTCCGGCCTCTCCTCGCCTCCGTCCTGTTCGAGTTGAGACCACGCACCTCGGACCCGATATTGGTTGAGGAGAAGTGCTCCGGCCTGGTTCCCGCCTCCATCCTCTTCAAGTTGAGACCGCGCACCTGGGACCCCATATTGATTGAGGATAGGCACTCCGGCCTGGTCTCGGCTTCTGTTCTCTCCAGACCACGAACCTGGGAACCCATGACAGTTGAGGATAGGCGATCCGGCCTTGTCGCCGCCTCTGTCTTCTTCAGGTTGAGACCACGCGCCGAGAACGTATTCTGAGAGTAAGTCCTTCGAGCTTGTTGTCGCCTCCTCTTGAAGCTCGCCTTCTTCTGGCTTCAAGCACCTGGCACTGATGCACGCTGCGGTAGGGCACGCACCTAGGACCCCATATCGGTTGAGGATAAGTGCTCCGCCCTCGTCCCCACCTTCACCGAGATCGCGTACCTGGGACTCCACGTTGGTCGAGGATAAGCGCTCCGGCCTCGTCCCCTCCGGCCTCGTCCCTGCCGAGCACGCACCTGGGACCCCAGCTCCGGCCTCGTCCCCGCCTCCGCCTTCTTCGGGCTGAGACCACGCGCCTGGAACCCCATATTGCGCCGGCCTGGTCCGCGAGAGCACGCACCTGGGACCCCATATTGGTTGAGGATAAGCGCTCCCGCCTCCGAGCACGCGCCTGGAACATATTGGTTGAGGAAAGCGCTCCGGCCTCGTCGCCTTCTTCGGGCTGAGACCACGCACCTGGGACCCCATATTGGGTGAGGATAAGTGCTCCGGCCTCGTCCCTGCCTCCGCCTTCTTCGACTGAGACCACGCACCTGGAACCCCACATTGGTTGAGGATAATCAGCGCTCACCTCCTCACTTCGGTCTTCTTGGGGTTGGGACCACGTACCTGGGACACCATGCAGGCGAGCCTGCACGGCTTCGTTCCCGCTCCCGGCCTTTTTCTTCTTGAGGATACGCACCTGGCACTCCACGCTGGTTGCGGTCTAAGTGAGCGGGTTTGGGAGGGGTGGGAGGGGCAGAGCGAGGGGGAGGGAAGGGAGCGGGGGAGGGAAGGGGGGGAGGGAGGGGGGGAACCCTCCGGAGGGGGCACCGGGTGGGGGGGGGGAGGGAGGGGGGGGAGGGGTGCGGGGGAAGGGGAACCCACACCCCATTTTAGTTGAGGATTGTTTTTTGGTGTCTGCCCACTACCCCCTGTGAGACTCGTGCCACCCCCCCGGAGGAGGCACCGGGTGGGGAGGAGGAGGGAAGGGGGGAGGGTGGGGGAGGGGGCCGGGGAGGGGTGGGAACCAACACCCCATTTTAGTTGAGGATTGTTTTTTGGTGTCTGCCCACTACCCCCCGTGAGACTCGTGCCACCCCCCGGAGGAGGCACCGGGTGGGGAGGGGGAGGGAAGGGGGGAGGGTGGGGGAGGGGCCGGGGAGGGGTGGGAACCAATTGAGGATTGTTTTTTGGTGTCTGCCCACTACCCTCCCGCCCCAGGAGGAGGGGGGAGGGCGCTCAGGGGGAGGGGGGGCGGGGGGAAGACCCCACACCCCATTTTAGTTGAGGATTGTTCTCTCGGCCTTGTCGCTGAGACCACACACCTCGGCAACCACATTGGTTGAGGCTCAAGCTTCCATACCTTGGATTGTCCTTGCCTCTGTCTTCTTCGGCTTGAGCTTCCACACCTCGGAACCCCATACCGGTTGAGGATAAGCCTTCCCGCCTTGTCTCTGCCTCTGTCTTCTTCGGCTGGAGCTTCCATACCCCGGAAACCCACATCGGTTGAGTATAAACCCTCCCGGCCTTATCCTTGCCTCTGTCTTCTTCGACTTGTGAGCTTCCACGCCTCGGAAACCCGTACTAGTTGAGGATAAACCCTCCCGGCCTTGTCGTTGCGCTTCTGCAGCTTGAGACCCCACGTCTTGGAAACCCATATTGGTTGATGATACACCCTCCCGGCCTTGTCCTTGCCCTTCTTCAGCTTGAGCTTCCACGCCTCGGAAACCCATACTGGTTGAGGATGAGCCCCCCCCCGGCCTTGTCCCTACCTGTGTCTTCTTCAGCTTGAACTTCCACACCTCGGAACCCCATGTTGGTTGAGGATGGGCCCTCCCGGCCTTGTCCTTGCCTCGGAAACTTATATTGGTTTGAGGATAAGCCCTCCCGGCCTCGTTCTTACCTCTGTCTTCTTCAGCTTGAGCTTCCTGGGGCCACGCACTTCGAACCCCGGCCTTGTCCTTGCCTCCGTCGTCTTTTTGCTGGGGTCACGCACCTCGGACCTCATATTGGTTGAGGCCTCGTCCTTTCTCTTTTCTCCAAGATGAAACCATGCACCTGGGACCCTATCTTGGTCGAGGATAGGCACTCCGGCCTCTCCTCGCCTCCGTCCTGTTCGAGTTGAGACCACGCACCTCGGACCCGATATTGGTTGAGGAGAAGTGCTCCGGCCTGGTTCCCGCCTCCATCCTCTTCAAGTTGAGACCGCGCACCTGGGACCCCATATTGATTGAGGATAGGCACTCCGGCCTGGTCTCGGCTTCTGTTCTCTCCAGACCACGAACCTGGGAACCAATGACAGTTGAGGATAGGCGATCCGGCCTTGTCGCCGCCTCTGTCTTCTTCAGGTTGAGACCACGCGCCGAGAACGTATTCTGAGAGTAAGTCCTTCGAGCTTGTTGTCGCCTCCTCTTGAAGCTCGCCTTCTTCTGGCTTCAATCACCTGGCACTGATGCACGCTGCGGTAGGGCACGCACCTAGGACCCCATATCGGTTGAGGATAAGTGCTCCGCCCTCGTCCCCACCTTCACCTTCTTCGGGCCGAGAGCGCGTACCTGGGACTCCACGTTGGTCGAGGATAAGCGCTCCGGCCTCGTCCCCGCCTCCGCTTTCGCACCTGGGACCCCATATTGGTTGAGGATAAGCGCTCCGGCCTCGTCCCTGCCGAGCACGCACCTGGGACCCCAGCTCCGGCCTCGTCCCCGCCTCCGCCTTCTTAGGGCTGAGACCACGCGCCTGGAACCCCATATTGCGCCGGCCTGGTCCGCGAGAGCACGCACCTGGGACCCCATATTGGTTGAGGATAAGCGCTCCCGCCTCCGAGCACGCGCCTGGAACATATTGGTTGAGGAAAAGCGCTCCGGCCTCGTCGCCTTCTTCGGGCTGAGACCACGCACCTGGGACCCCATATTGGTTGAGGATGAGTGCTCCGGCCTCGTCCCTGCCTCCGCCTTCTTCGACTGAGACCACGCACCTGGAACCCCACATTGGTTGAGGATAAATCAGCGCTCACCTCCTCACTTCGGTCTCTTGGGGTTGGGACCACGTACCTGGGACACCATGCAGGTGAGCCTGCACGGCTTCGTTCCCGCTCCCGGCCTTCTTCTTCTTGAGGATACGCACCTGGCACTCCACGCTGGTTGCGGTCTAAGTGAGCGGGTTTGGGAGGGGAGGAGGGTGGGGAGCGGTGCGGGGTTCGGGGGAGGGAAGGGAGCGGGGGAGGGAAGGGGGGGAGGGAGGGGGGGGACCTTGCGGAGGGGGCACCGGGTGGGGGGGGGGAGGGAGGGGGGGGAGGGTGGGAGGGGTGCGGGGCAGCCCCACACCCCATTTTAGTTGAGGATTGTTTTTTGGTGTCTGCCCACTACCCCCCGTGAGACTCGTGCCACCCTCCGGAGGAGGCACCGGGTGGGGAGGGGGAGGGACGGGGGGAGGGTGGGGGAGGGGGGCGGGGAGGGGCGGGAACCAACGCCCCATTTTAGTTGAGGATTTTTTTTTGGTGTCTGCCCACTACCCTCCCGGCCCAGTAAGGGGGGGGGGGAGGGCGGGGGAGGGGGGGCCGGGGGGGAGACCCCGCACCCCATTGATTTCTGCCACTACCTTCCCTGAGAATTCGTGCCACCCTGCCACCTCTGGAAGGGAGGCCGTCAATAGGGCATGGGAGGGAGAGGGAGGGGGAGGGGGAAGGTCGGCTAGCTCCTGAACTGCATACCTTCAGGTTCCTGTTTTGTTTGAGGAAAAGCTCTCCGGATAAGCCCTCTCAGCCTTGTCGCTGAGACCACACACCTCGGCAACCCACATTGGTTGAGGCTCAAGCTTCCATACCCTGGATTGTCCTTGCCTCTGTCTTCTTCGGCTTGAGCTCCCACACCTCGGAACCCCCTACCGGTTGAGGATAAGCCTTCCCGCCTTGTCCCTGCCTCTGTCTTCTTCGGCTGGAGCTTCCACACCCCGGAAACCCACATCGGTTGAGGATAAGCTCTCCCGGCGTTGCCGTTGCCTCTGTCTTCTTCGACTTGTGAGCTTCCGCACCTCGGAAACCCACATCGGTTGAGGATAAGCTCTCCCGGCCTTGCCGTTGCCTCTGTCTTCTTCGACTTGTGAGCTTCCGCACCTCGGAAACCCATACTGCTTGAGTATAAACCCTCCCGGCCTTGTCCTTGCCTCTGTCTTCTTCGACTTGTGAGCTTCCACACCTCGGAAACCCATACTAGTTGAGGATAAACCCTCCCGGCCTTGTCATTGCGCTTCTGCAGCTTGAGACCCCACGTCTTGGAAACCCATATTGGTTGATGATTAACCCTCCCGGCCTTGTCCTTGCCCTTCTTCATCTTGAGCTTCCACGCCTCGGAAACTTATATTGGTTGAGGATAAGCCCTCCCGGCCTCGTTCTTGCCTCTGTCTTCTTCAGCTTGAGCTTCCTGTGGCCACGCACTTCGAACCCCGGCCTTGTCCTTGCCTCCGTCGTCTTTTTGCTGGGGTCACGCACCTCGGACCTCATATTGGTTGAGGCCTCGTCCTTTCTCTTTTCCCCAAGATGAAACCATGCACCTGGGACCCTATCTTGGTTGAGGATAGGCACTCCGGCCTCTCCTCGCCTCAGTCCTGTTCGAGTTGAGACCACGCACCTCAGACCCGGTTTTGGTTGAGGAGAAGTGCTCCGGCCTGGTTCCCGCCTCCATCCTCTTCAAGTTGAGACCGCGCACCTGGGACCCCATATTGACTGAGGATAGGCACTCCGGCCTGGTCTCGGCTTCTGTTCTCTCCAGACCACGAACCTGGGAACCCATGACAGTTGAGCATAGGCGATCCGGCCTTGTCGCCGCCTCTGTCTTCTTCAGGTTGAGACCACGCGCCGAGAACGTATTCTGAGAGTAAGTCCTTCGAGCTTGTTGTCGCCTCCTCTTGAAGCTCGCCTTCCTCTGGCTTCAAGCACCTGGCACTGATGCACGCTGCGGTAGGGCACGCACCTAGGACCCCATATCGGTTGAGGATAAGTGCTCCGCCCTCGTCCCCACCTTCACCTTCTTCGGGCCGAGATCGCGTACCTGGGACTCCACGTTGGTCGAGGATAAGCGCTACGGCCTCGTCCCCGCCTCCGCTTTCGCACCTGGGACCCCATATTGGTTGAGGATAAGCGCTCCGGCCTCGTCCCTGCCGAGCACGCACCTGGGACCCCAGCTCCGGCCTCGTCCCCACCTCCGCCTTCTTCGGGCTGAGACCACGCGCCTGGAACCCCATATTGCGCCAGCCTGGTCCGCGAGAGCACGCACCTGGGACCCCATATTGGTTGAGGATAAGCGCTCCCGCCTCCGAGCACGCGCCTGGAACCTTTTGGTTGAGGATAAGCGCTCCGGCCTCGTCGCCTTCTTCGGGCTGAGACCACGCACCTGGGACCCCATATTGGGTGAGGATAAGTGCTCCGGCCTCGTCCCTGCCTCCGCCTTCTTCGACTGAGACCACGCACCTGGGACCCCACATTGGCTGAGGATAATCAGCGCTCACCTCCTCGCTTCGGTCTTCTTGGGGTTGGGACCACGTACCTGGGACACCATGCAGGCGAGCCTGCACGGCTTCGTTCCCGCTCCCGGCCTTCTTCTTCTTGAGGATACGCACCTGGCACTCCACGCTGTTGCGGTCTAAGTGAGCGGGTTGGGAGGGGAGGGGGGTGGGAAGGGGGTGGGAGGGGCAGAGCGGATGGAGGGAAGGGGGGGACCTCCGGAGGGGGCACCGGGTGGGGGGGGGGAGGGAGGGGGGGGAGGGTGGGGAGGGGTGCGGGGGGAACCCCACACCCCATTTTAGTTGAGGATTGTTTTTTGGTGTCTGCCCACTACCCCCCGTGAGACTCGTGCCACCCTCCGGAGGAGGCACCGGGTGGGGAGGGGGAGGGAGGGGGGGAGGGGGAGGGGGGGCGGGGGGAAGACCCCGCACCCCATTGATTTCTGCCACTACCTTCCCTGAGCTGCCAACTGTGGAAGGGGCGGAAAAGGCCGTCAATAGGGCATGGGAGGGGGAGGGAGGGGGAGGGGGAAGGTCGGCTAGCTCCTGAACTGCATACCTTCAGGTTCCTGTTTTGTTTGAGGAAAAGCTCTCCGGATAAGCCCTCTCAGCCTTGTCGCTGAGACCACATTTCAATTTCTCAAAGTAGGAGCTGCGCTGTCACGGTATACAATTTCTATTTATCCTGTCTTGAGGGTTTAGGGTTTAGGGTTTAGGGTTTAGGGTTTAGGGTTTAGGGTTTAGGGTTTAGGGTTTAGGGTTCGACAGCGTAGCAGTCGCGCTGGTCAACTTGAGGGTGCACTTCTTTCATAGGGGGGTGTTGTCTAAACCCAGGAATTTAAGCCAGAAACGTAAACGTAGCCATCGCGATGGGTGGGTGGCCGGGGTGGGTGGTGGGTTGTGGGTGGTGGGTGAAACCAGAAACTTCATGAAATTCTTTACGAATCGTAAATATTCACTACCGTGATCCTGGGGGGCGCTGCCCCCCAGACCCCCCGCCAGGACTCCTCGCCCTGGACCCCGCCAGCACTCGCTTGTCCCGAAAAGAGTTTTCTTTTCTTTCAAACTTTTTGGCAGCCAGCAAAGGGCAGGCAGCAGGGAGCCAGGCAGGGCTGGGCCGGGCTGGTTTGAGCTGGGCGGGCGCCATGGGGACAACCCCTGGACCCTGAAAAGAGTGTGGCGTTTAGCCACGGACGGCAGAGGAACGGGTTTGGGGGCGGGGGCGGCGAGGGCCGGGCGGGGGGGTGCGGGTGGGGGGGAGGCGGCAGGGGGGCGGGGGTGTGGGGGGCCGGGGATTCGACTTGAGGAGAAGGGTGGCGGGGGCAGGGGCAGGAAACCTTCAACCCTTGCACCCTAACCTTAAACCCTCGGCCCTAAACCCAAGGCCCCAAACCCTCAACCCTAGGGCCTTAAACCAGCCATGGCCGAAAGCCATGACCGAAACCCATGGCCGAAAGCCATGCCCGAAAGCCATGCCCGAAACCCATGGCCGAAACCCATGGCCGAAACCCATGGCCGAAACCCATGGCCGAAAGCCATTGGGACACCCTTTTGGCCTTTTACTTCGGTTTACCCCAAACCCGAACACCCAGACCCGAAACCCTCGGCCCCGAAACCCCAAACCCAAGGCCCCAAACCCTCAACCCTAGGGCCTTAAACCCTAAACCCTAGGGCCCTAAACCCTAAACCCTAGCACCCAAACCCTAAACCCTCGGCCCCGAAACCCTAAACCCAAGGCCCCGAAACCCTAAACCAAGGCCCCGAAACCCTCAACCCTAGGGCCCTAAACCCTAAACCCTAGGGCCCTAAACCTTAAACCCTAGCACCCAAACCCTAAACCCTCGGCCCCGAAACCCTAAACCCAAGGCCCCGAAACCCTAAACCCAAGGCCCCGCTAGGGCCTTAAGCCCTAAACCCTAGGGCCCTAAACCCTAAACCCTAGCACCCAAACCCTAAACCCTCGGCCCCGAAACCCTAAACCCAAGGCCCCAAACCCTCAACCCGAGGGCCTTAAACCCTAAACCCTAGGGCCAAGGCCCCGAAACCTTCAACCCTAGGGCCTTAAAGCCTAAACCCTAGGGCCCTAAACCCCAAACCCTAGCACCCAAACCCTAAACCCTTGGCCGAAACCCTAAACCCAAGGCCCCAAACCCTCCCTAGCACCCAAACCTTAAACCCTCGGCCCCGAAACCCTAAACCCAAGGCCCCAAACCCTCAACCCTAGGGCCCTGAACCCTAAACCCTCGGCCCCGAAACCCTAAACCCAAGGCCCCAAACCCTAAGGCCCTAAACCCTAAACCCTCGGCCCCGAAACCCTAACCCTAAACCCTCGGCCCCGAAACCCTAAACCCAAGGCCCCAAACCCTAGACCCTAAACCCTAGCACCCTAAATCCTAAACCCTCGGCCCCGAAACCCTAAACCCAAGGCCCCGAAACCCTAAACCCAAGGCCCCAAGGCCCTAAACCCTAAACCCTCGGCCCCGAAACCCTACACCCAAGGCCCCAAACCCTAAACCCTAGGGCCCTAAACCCTAAACCCTAGCACCCAAACCCTAAACCCTCGGCCCCGAAACCCTAAACCCAAGGCCCCGAAACCCTAAACCCAAGGCCCCAAACCTTCAACCCTAGGGCCCTAAACCCTAAACCCTAGCACCCTAAACCCTAAACCCTCGGCCCCGAAACCCTAAACCCTAGCACCCAAACCCTAAACCCTCGGCCCCGAAACCCTAAACCCAAGGCGCCGAAACCCTAAACCCAAGGCCCCAAACCTTCAACCCTAGGACCCTAAACCCTAAACCCTAGCACCCTAAATCCTAAACCCTCGGCCCCGAAACCCTAAACACAAGGCCCCGAAACCTTCAACCCTAGGGCCCTAAACCCTAAACCCTAGCACCCTAAATCCTAAACCCTCGGCCCCGAAACCCTAAACCCAAGGCCCCGAAACCCTCAACCCTAGGGCCCTAAACCCTAAACCCTTTCTACTGTTAAACCAACAACCTACGCTGTCGCATCTTGGCGCTTGCGCCTTCTAAAATTTAGGGTTTAGGGTTTTAAAGGGCCTGAAAGCATAGAAAACTCATGGTTTTGTAGGAAAGCCAGCTAGAAAACTCATGGTTTTTGTAGGATTCCAGTTAGGCTCTGGAGCTTGCCGTGGAGAGCAGCCTGGCTGGAGGACAGGTTTTTAAAGGGCCTGAAAGCCTAGAAAACTCATGGTTTTTGTAGGATTCTCTAGCTTGCCTGTGGAGAGCAGCCTGGCTGGAGACAGGTTTAAAGGGCTGAAAGCCTAGAAAACTCATGGTTTTTGTAGGATTCCAGTTCTAGGCAGCCTGTGGAATGCAGCCTGGCTAGTGCCAGGTTTAAAGGGCTTGAAAGCCTAGAAAACTCATGGTTTTTGTAGGATTGCAGTTCTAGGCTTTGAAGCTTGCCTGTGGAATGCAGCCTGGCTTGTTTGAGAAAACCCAGGGCTTGTGCAGGGCTTCTGTGGAGTGCAGCCTGGTTTGTGCAAGGTTCGAAGGGCTTAGTGTGTGTTGGCATGCATCGAGCTGTGTTGGAGTGTAAAGGCGAAAAACGTGCGACTTTGATCATGTGTGCTATGCGACTGGGTGCGACTTTGAAGCAGTTTGTGTGCGATGCGATTTGGTGTGATTGAGGGCAGCTTGTGCGAAGCTTTAAGCTAGTCCACCCATGCCTTGTTCCCAAGAGCTCACAATCGGGCTAGTGCGGAAATGGAGTGGGTGGGTGCCTGTGTTCAAGGCGATGTGGTGCGACTGTAAAGCAGCTTGTCGTGTGCAGTCTGATTTGGTGTGTTGGGGTAACCTTGCAGCAGCTTGTGTGCAGTGCGACTTCATGCCTGAGGGGTTTGCTTTGGGGTGCCTTGAGCTTTGTTCTTCAAGGTGCAGTGGCGGAAAATGGGTGACTTGGAATCAGCTTGGTGCATGTGTGTGTGCAGCTCTGCGATATGAGGGGCACTGTGCGAAGATTGCGACTTGCTTGATGTCGACTTGACTAATTGCGACTTGATTCCATCATGAATCAAGTAATGTGTGAAGATTGCAACATGATCGAAGCAGCAGCTTGTGAGAGGTGCTTGTGTGCAAGGCTTGATGATATGAGTGGATTTGGCTGCGGCACTTGAGAGAAGCTTGGCTGCATAGTCGGTGGATCCCCTTCAAAGTTGCAGGCTTGGAAATCCTGTGTGAAGCTCGTGTGTGTGTTTGTGTGATTGGCCATGCTTGACTCGCAAAGTTCGCCTGCAGCTGCTTTTGCTTTCGAGAAGCTCAACTCTTCCTGTTCCTTCGATTCTTGCAGTTATGTCTGCAAGACACCACCGCCCAGGGCCTTATCATGTCGGCCCAGGCGGCGAAGGTGTGAGAGAAAGGAGGCTCTTTGCACCGGCTCTGCCTGAGCCAATTGACCCGTTGCCTGACCATCACCACTCCAACCTGGCTTTGGTGAATGCAGGGAGTGCGACACCGCTTGGCAGGCAATGGGACATCGACTATGTGTGCTTGGAGCTTACCCCCTCAGCCCTGGGCCACTTTTCTCAATACTGGGTGCTGGGTGGACAGGCCTCTAGGCACCCAAGATCAGACTTCCCCTATGGCCTGGAGCTCTGCTCGGGCAAGCCTTTTTACCTCCGGCTGCAAAGTGCTGACCAACCCTTAGGCGAGGTTTCCAGAGCCTTGGCCCTCGCTTTGATGGCAAGCTCTGGAGGCCACCCCGTCCTCGTTCCTCCTCATGGACAGGAAGGGTTGTGCCTTGGGAAAAAGGAGAGGCTGTGTGCTGCTGCAACTCTGGCGGCAGCACTGCAGCGGCTGCCTGGTGCAGCAGAGTGGGGCTCGCACTATAAACTGTTCCTCTGCAATTATGGTGGAAAACTCCCGGCCAGGGAGTTCTGGACCAACGCCTTGGAGCCCACCTATAATGCCATTGTGCAAGATGTCGGCCAAGCAAAAGCTGACGACATGTGGGACTCCATGGTT